TTTCAATGAATGTCGAGGCATCGAGAACTCATGTCAGGAGAATTCATACAATTTCATAATTTAGATAATGTGACATTGCCAACAATACGGCTCCAGAGAGAGGAATTGAGTTCCCCACCTTAAACTTCACGACTGCCACACTCTGTCGCCCTGAGAACATATCAAACTTGAGTCGCAACGCAATCTCAAGAGGGAGATAATTTGGCTTAACTTTGTACACCACTTCTGTGAAGACTCACAGACACTTTCAGAACTTTGGCAGTGCTTAAAACATGTTTTCTTCTCCCTTTTTTGAAAATTCATACATTTTTCCAACCGCCTAAAGCATCATAACCTCAAATTTAGGAGGTTTTGTCCTAAAAAGACGCAATTTTTTCTAAAAAATATCTTTAGATATCAAAAAGAATCCTTGAAATAAACTTTTTCGAAATGTTTTAAGGGGAATACTTGAGAAAATTTGCCATTTTAAAGTAAAAAATCTGTCAAAGAGCTCTTAAAATAGGCAATTTTGTATCTTGAAACAAAATTTTAGAGTTTATGATCAATCTTAGCATAATTAACACAGTTTAAAATTAAAACCTTGAGATTTCTGCATCAGATTTCACTTTAATTGCATTCAGGCGTAAGAATGAATTATTTTGAAGAAAAATGTGAAAAATAATTCTTTTTCTCCAATTATTGCGTTAATTCCTTGCAAAAGTAACTGTACACCACTTCTGACCATAATATGTCTCCCTTGCGCAATCTTGTATCAAAGTGCTTCCCATTTGCACATTACACATATTCAAAATATCTGTACAAGACATGCACTGGAGCATGTGAGCACTTTGGCGACACTCTGCCCGGATAATGTTGAGATCCATCTGAATCTGGACGGTGGCAATTTCCACTCGAAGCTTTTGCGGGAAAATCCAGTGCACGCGTTATGAAAAGCACATTAACTTTCACCCCGGCGGGGTGGAAGGCTTTTCAAGGATGCTACAAGTGAAATTTGGCGGATTTTGTGGAAAATCCATGAGGATTAAATTGTAAACTTTTCCCCTCAAAGACTCTCCATGAGAGTTGAGCGGGAAAAAAAGCAGCTCGGCGAGAACATGAAGAAATGCGTTTGAAATGCCTGCGCGCCACCGAAAAGTGATTTAAAAGCACACTCACGAAGAGCTTTATGTGAAAATTTGGGAAATAAAGTGAATTTATTTCTCGGAATCTCCACATTTATGCGCCACCCCGCCACCCGAAAAAGGGGCACACAAATGACGCAATAACCCACACGAATAATAATTACTTTCAGCCTCCGTCCACGAGTGCGTGTCTGGATGAGGGTGGAAAAAATATGGGTATGATAATTGTCAAATAAACATTCTTCTAACGACGACGTGTGGATGAAATAGAGGAGGCTGTCTTGGGGGGCTGGAACCCCATCATTTTGGAATATTCACCCAGTTTTTTTTTATTCCTAATTCCACACTTGAGGGCGACAAAAGGAGCACGAGAGCAGCATTGAATTCAGCATGAATGTAATGTAATTTGGGAAATCATTGTGTTATTGTATAATCATATGAGGGAAAATGTCTCTCTGTCGCTTCGCCAGAAGCCGCGAAACGTGAAGCGCTGCAGTGAAATGGAAAATTCTTAAGAGTGAAAGACAAACAGAGGAAACACTTTTGTGCAATTTAATCTATTGAATTTCATACAGTTGTCGTGATGATTATTTCCCAAATTCCTCTTCCATCCCTCGTAAATATGCACATAAGCTGAAATATGTGGAAAATTTGGGAAATCAAAGATGCACAATTTCTCGATTAAGTCAAGTTGTGCTGAAAGTCCAGATAAATTCCTTCGGAGAAACTCTAAGAGAAATTGATTTCCTGAAAGTACACATATTTACTCAGTGATGGAAAACTTCTTGAAAGAAGGCACTTGAGATTGGGATAAGTGATTGCTAAAAGTTTATATTCCAGGAAATTTTCCGGATAGAAGGAAAGTTTAGGACGAAAATCAATTCAAACTGGACTCAAATCTACAATTGATTTATCAAATATTCCAACGCAAATAAACTCACCTATAATCAATTTCTTCTTTTTTTTCCTTATCACACCCACGGAATTCGCCTTGAGAGATAATTCTACGGATTGTATTCATGCAATATCAGAGGATATTCTGGGTGATGATGAGAAATTGCACAAAGTTTGCATTGTGGAGAAAAGCTTTCACTTCCATCTTTACCGAGCCGGATGCATGATTAAATGCATCACAAATTGCCGGAGGTTTATAATTAAATTCTACCACAGGGTGGAAAAGCTCAATCTCTGTTTATACATTCTCATTTTCATCCTCCAACTTTCGCACAAAAAGCTTCGCGAAAGAAATTCATTTTCAAATAAGGAAACCTAGACCTCTAATATACACTTACTCAAATAAACTGTGCGGTTATCAGAAGATGCTTTATCATGTTATGATCGGAGACACAAGTGCAGATATCTCGATGTTTTTTTTTTATCTTTTAAGGGCATGATAAGAGATTTCCAAGAAACACTCTCAAAAGCGTGACGGAGAAATGTTCATCTCGTGTTTTTCCAGCAAATTTTGCTGCGCGGTTTCTCAACTGAGCGTCTTTAATTGATCTCCTGACGTTTTCATCAGGTTGTGTGGCACGATGAATCTTCCACCAAAGATAAAACCCCATTTTAGACACTCCAGAGTTTAATGAAAATGTATGCGGATGAGAGAAACTAATTTGCCTGAGATATTATGAAGTGTTAGGCAATTTATTTGCAATCTATTAATTACATTCGTGAAGCATGCGGGAGTAAAACTATGTAAATACATTTTGGTGGATGATGGAAAATGGCAACAGATTTAGTCTATCTGGGTGAATCAGTGACAGGGAATAATTTCGCGGATTCCACTGTGAGACAGGCGTTGTAAATTACGCAAAATCTTGCCTCAAAGGATGCCTCACACGTGTCCCGACGCTCAGTGAATCGATAAATCTTAATTTATCACTCACTTTTTGAGAAGCTCAAAGGGTAGAAGCTAAGCATTAATCACGACCTCACATCTTGCCAACTTGTACTCAACGACGGAAGACATGCAGATGCCCCTCCTTCCCCTTTGTAATTGTTAATTACCTGCTGATATTGCATAGAAACTCAATACATTTTGTACCTTTCGTCGTAACAGAAGAACAGAAGCCATTTGAAAGCTCTCTGAAGCGTGGCAAAAATCTCATTCAAATGTGTAAACTTTCCTTGAAGGTGTTGTACAAGGGAGAGAAATTATGCATTTAATCTGTACACCATTGTCCACAGAAGCTGTGCAGAATCTTTAACATTTCAGACACTTCTGAACGTCATTAAAGACATTTTCCATCGCTTTTAATCCCAGTTTTTCCGTCTCAAGAGTCTAAAGTTCTGCAAATTCTTAAATTTTGTATTATAAGACAAGATTTTAATGTCTTTGGATTCGTTCAATAAGCATTCTTGGACTAATTTTAATTCTTATAAACCTGAAAATGAGTAAATATGGTGAATATCTGAGTGTTTCTACCAGATAATGAAGCTAATTTTGTCTCTTTAAAGTTTAAATCGCGGAAATAATGCAGCAAAGAAACATTCTTTAACACTAAAATGATATTTTTGAGCTTATGAAAGACTCCAAAGCTCTTTATTACTAATGAAATTTGATAAATCTGAAGATTTTTGAGCACAAATACTTCATGCCAAGAAAAAGCGAAATATAATAATTTAAATAGTTATTTAATTGTCAAAATCTACTTGAAATCAATCACATAACCTAGAAAAGTAATAAAATTTAAAAATCCAATGCGAAATCATTTAGAAAATGCCTCAATTTGTTGAAATGGTTTAAATTGAAGCCTTTGCAATGCAAATATTGTAAATATTTTGTCTGTTTCGATTCCTACCACTTCCCTTAAAAGCTGTACACCCCGTCTAACCACAATATCTACCCCTTGGTGTTGTATATAGTTTGAGCAGAAGGAGAAATTGCAATATTGCGTTAAAATATGGCTTAGTGTAATTTGATTCAAGTTGAGCTGAGAGTTGAATTTAAATTGAGTTAAATTAGCTCCGGTTTCCCTTCTTAATTGCGACTCAATAAACTTTCTCTTTGCGAGATATTCTCATAAACAGGTATAATTAATTCAATAAGGTGCCCAATACACCATGTCATTTATTGAATATATCATTCTTCCACAGTGAAACTGCAATATTGATTAAAGTTGTATGAAAAGTTATGAAATTATTCCACCTAAAGTGTCGATGAGGGAAAACTTTTCAAGTCACTCTGAATGCGGGAATGCTTTAATGGAGTGCAGAAACTTTAGCATTTCGTCCACAATTTTTTTTTTCTGTGCCCCTCAACTCCCCTTAATTACATTTCGTTCACACCACAGGCGCTTCTAAGAAGATCTACTCTAGGCTAGAGTGGAGAAAAATCTCTCAGATGTAATTACAAGTGTTGAAGTGGTTTTTTCTTCGTCCTCTTGACCAAATGGAACACAGCTATATTTCAACTTTTTTTCTCCCGTCCACCTTCAGAAGCTCAGCACCGACGGTCAGCATCCCCTTATTCTGTTGACTTTTTCCCCGTCATCAACATCATTCCGCCCCGCACTTCCAGCTTTTGCTGCGCCTTGTGGGAAAAAGTGCAAAAGCAGTAAAGCCCAAAAGCTCTCTGTGACTTTGGAAATGTCGAGAGAAAATCTTTCCGCTTGTGAACTATTGCCAAGTGTATTGTTGTGTTGCTTCTCAGCAAATATGCGGTGAAAGTGCATCTCGTGGAAAACAACTGAGTCAGAATCACCACAGGTAAACAAGGCTCCATGGAAACTAACTGCAGAGATTCTCTGTTCGTGAGAATGGAAAATTACACTGGGCAATTAGACACGTGGGAGATATTATAGGGATTTATCACTGTGCCAAGATGCACAAAAATAATCCTTATCTTGCAATTTCGTGAGTATAAATTGTGTGATAATTCTGAGAGATCTTCAGTAGTTTCCTGACTTCTCAGTTAATATCATATCAACTTGCACAGCATCCCAAAAAACAACCCTCAACAAGTCAAAATGAACAAGTTTGTGCTCTTCACTTTCCTCTTCGCCGCCTTCGTGGCCACCAATGTGAGTCTCTCTCTCTCTCTCTGACTAGAATCCCAAAAACAGTGAAACCCAGATAGAACTGCAATTCTAACTTTATTCTTCTCTCTCTAGGCCCAATTCTTCGGCGCCGGAGATGCTTTTGGTCCAGCCATGTGGAGCCCATGGCCTCAGCTTGTGGTGGAGAAGGCAGTGCAGAAGGTCCGTGACACGCCCGTGTCCGCCGAGCTGCAGCCACAGCTGGATCAAGTCGTTGAGGATCTGGAGGCCGGCCTGGCGCAGTGCGAGGAGCTCCTGCCCCTCAACGTCTACTGGTTCTACAAGCGTTGCGTCGGAGTGCAGCTGAAGAAAGCCTCGAACGCCGCCGCCGCCCTCGAGGCCGCCTCCACCGCCGCCACCACTCAGGCCCCAGCCTAAGGAATCGTCTGCCACTCTAGCATCTCTGGCCCAAGGATTTTTCATGATGATTATTTATGTATAAACGTTAAATAAATTGCAATTCAAAAGTTAATTTCAATTCTTTTTCTTGACAAACTTCTCATCTTCCTGACCAATTCAGAGGCTTCGGGATCAAGAGTTGGTCTGGTTGAATAGTGTTTTCTCATCCTCTTTGCCATAGCGTGAAAAAGAAGAAAAAATAAGATTCAAGGATGAGATTTAATAAATAAAATGATATCAAGAAGAAATCTTCCTGTTTACATAAAACTGTTATTATCATAAATTGTTACCGCTCAGTTGAGTTTATGCTTGCAATTGGTGGCTCCTAAAAGCTCACTAAAGTTCCAATAATTAAGTCCAAAACATCAGCTGTAATAAATCTCTCACAGTGACTAAAGAGAATTCACATTGAAATTACGTTGTTTTCCACAGTGTTACAGTGTCAAAGCTCTATTGCAGCTTTATACATTGAAATAATGTTGACTCTCTTGCAAATAAGGACACACCAGACGGAACTTTCCTGGAGCACTCTGCTTAAATTACCGCTGCAGTGAGTGTGAATTAATTACGTGAACCCTTGAACTGCTGATGGTGATAAATTTTGACAAAAATTCGCGATAAAATTGAATTTATAGCGCGCGAGTAAACAAATGACTTTGACCTTGGTGTGAGGAAAAGCTCCACAGCACTGAAAGCTCCCGCGGTGATACCTGGACAAGGACACAATCTACTCCTGAGTTATTGATTCAACATATACATTATATCATTGTGTCTATCCAGGAAAATATGGTGCAAGTTTTACATGGCACTTTTCACCTTCTGGGCAAAAATCTCTTATCACGGAACTCAATGATAGAGTAAAATAATAAAACCCAGTGAGGTATTTCTCCACTGAGAGAGTGAGAGGAAATTTCCCCAGAAATGCTGCGAGGGTGGGTAAATAAATAGTAATGGAATGTGCGGTGCTTCTGATAAGGAAAAACCACGATGAGTTCTTATGCGATATGGCTCTTGGCGATTTGTCGTGGACAGACGTAGACGGAAAAGCTCAGGCATGACGGAAGTTTGAGAAATGTCTGTCTCCGCAATGGGAGAATTTCTTCATTCTCCCCACATGCTCCATAGTATACATTATCTCTTTTGCTGCTACATTAAAAATAATCTCTTCGCAATGCGACAGACGCCCAAAGCACAGTTCCTCCAATCGCCACATGCTTGCTTACGACAAGAGCTCCAGGAGCAAGGCATAAACCCGGACTAACTGTCAAAGCTCTCTGCTAATTTCAGGCAAATAAATTAATAAAGCGCCATACCTCAGCATTTTATTTGCCAATATAAAAGAATTCATTCCGTGAATCAGTTGTTTTTGCTCTCTCCTCTCCTGTGGCAATTGCTGATGTTTGATATGAGATTAAGTTGTATAACTTGGGATGCATGGAGACCAATTTGGAGAAAAATGATTCATGCGTTATCTTCGCAAGTGATATTTATCACTTTTCTCACACTCCTATATAAAGGTGGCACACTCTTCCCAGCATCAGTACGATTTTTCGACTTGCAGATGCTTCTGCTCGACTCAGCATCGAATTGTTACAAGTGCTGACGATGACGAAAGTTTTCCTAAAGTGTTTTCTACTAGTGACAGTGCTGGTTTATAGTGTCGAGGTATTGCAACTCAATTGCATATGTTTACCATAGAGTTTCACATGAATTTGTTGTTTTTCTTTCCCCCAAAAGTGTCGACCGAAAGATCATAACCACGCGTTCGACTACAGAGAATACACCCTCAATGCGGTAGATGGATTAAAGTCTCAAGACTTGTCAAAGAGTCGGCGTGAAGACGTTGACGATTTGAGGAAAAGTGTAGTGGAAGCCTTCGATAAATGCGATAAACTCCACGAGTTAACGAACCAATACTGGGTATTCAAAAAATGCTCAGGCGAAACGTTTGGAAATTATATGGAGAAAGTGAAGAAGTTGAAGGAGAAAATCAAGAAAGATAATAAACTCGATTCTAATGAAGATTCCGGTTCTGATGAATCTACTGAAGTGAAAGACAAGTCTAAAGAAGAAAGTAAGAACAAAGACAAAGACTCTAAAGAGAAAGATTCGAAAGAGAAAAATTCGAAAGACAAAGATTCGAAAGAGAAGGAATCGAAGGAAAAGGAATCAAAGGAAAAGGAATCAAAGGAAAAAGAGTCGAAAGAAAGGGATTCGAAGGAAAAAGACTCCAAGGAAAAAGAATCTCACAATCACAATCATAACCATAATCATAATCACAATCATGATAAACACACCACAAAAGCACCACGTCCTACTCGACCACCCACAACAAATCACACAGCTTTACCTGAGCAACCAACCACGCAACATCCCGGTGCCACTGCTGGTCCCACAGGTTCTCCAGGTAAACAAAGAAACACAGTGCAATCACGAAGAGAAATGTAATAAGCAAGAAATGTTTTTAAATTGCACAGGAGCAACGCAATCCCCATCTCAGGCTCCAGGCGAAACAACTGCGAACCCAACATCTGCTAGCCCTGACGCACCAACCACTCAAGGACCTGTGGTGACTGATGCGCCAACCACTCAAGGACCTGTGGTGACTGATGCGCCAACCACTCAAGGACCTGTGGGGACTGATGCTCCAGGTAAGGAATAAATCAACGAGAAATCGCGAGGACAAATGTAATAAGCAAGAAATGTTTTTAAATTGCACAGGAGCAACGCAATCCCCATCTCAGGCTCCAGGCGAAACAACTGCGAACCCAACATCTGCTAGCCCTGACGCACCAACCACTCAAGGACCTGTGGTGACTGACGCGCCAACCACTCAAGGACCTGTGGTGACTGATGCGCCAACCACTCAAGGACCTGTGGTGACTGATGCTCCAGGTAAGGAATAAATCAAAGAGAAATCGCGAGGACAAATGTAATAAGCAAGAAATGTTTTTAAATTGCCAGAGCAACGCAATCCCCATCTCAGGCTCCAGGCGAAACAACTGCGAACCCAACATCTGCTAGCCCTGACGCGCCAACCACTCAAGGACCTGTGGTGACTGATGCGCCAATCACTCAAGGACCTGTGGGGACTGATGCTCCAGGTAAGGAATAAATCAAAGAGAAATCGCGAGCAAATGTAATAAGCAAGAAATGTTTTTAAATTGCACAGGAGCAACGCAATCCCCATCTCAGGCTCCAGGCGAAACAACTGCGAACCCAACATCTGCTAGCCCTGACGCGCCAACCACTCAAGGACCTGTGGTGACTGATGCGCCAATCACTCAAGGACCTGTGGGGACTGATGCTCCAGGTAAGGAATAAATCAAAGAGAAATCGCGAGGACAAATGTAATAAGCAAGAAATGTTTTTAAATTGCACAGACAACGCAATCCCCATCTCAGGCTCCAGGCGAAACAACTGCGAACCCAACATCTGCTAGCCCTGACGCGCCAACCACTCAAGGACCTGTGGTGACTGATGCGCCAACCACTCAAGGACCTGTGGTGACTGATGCTCCAGGTAAGGAATAAATCAAAGAGAATCGCGAGGACAAATGTAATAAGCAAGAAATGTTTTTAAATTGCACAGGAGCAACGCAATCCCCATCTCAGGCTCCAGGCGAAACAACTGCGAACCCAACATCTGCTAGCCCTGACGCGCCAACCACTCAAGGACCTGTGGTGACTGATGCGCCAACCACTCAAGGGCCTGTGGTGACTGATGCGCCAACCACTCAAGGGCCTGTGGTGACTGATGCGCCAACCACTCAAGGACCTGTGGTGACTGATGCGCCAACCACTCAAGGACCTGTGGTGACTGACGCGCCAACCACTCAAGGACCTGTGGTGACTGATGCTCCAGGTAAGGAATAAATCAAAGAGAAATCGCGAGGACAAATGTAATAAGCAAGAAATGTTTTTAAATTGCACAGGAGCAACGCAATCCCCATCTCAGGCTCCAGGCGAAACAACTGCGAACCCAACATCTGCTAGCCCTGACGCGCCAACCACTCAAGGACCTGTGTGACTGATGCGCCAACCACTCAAGGACCTGTGGTGACTGACGCGCCAACCACTCAAGGACCTGTGGTGACTGATGCTCCAGGTAAGGAATAAATCAAAGAGAAATCGCGAGAGGACAAATGTAATAAGCAAGAAATGTTTTTAAATTGCACAGGAGCAACGCAATCCCCATCTCAGGCTCCAGGCGAAACAACTGCGAACCCAACATCTGCTAGCCCTGACGCGCCAACCACTCAAGGACCTGTGGTGACTGATGCGCCAACCACTCAAGGACCTGTGGTGACTGATGCTCCAGGTAAGGAATAAATCAAAGAGAAATCGCGAGGACAAATGTAATAAGCAAGAAATGTTTTTAAATTGCACAGGAGCAACGCAATCCCCATCTCAGGCTCCAGGCGAAACAACTGCGAACCCAACATCTGCTAGCCCTGACGCGCCAACCACTCAAGGACCTGTGGTGACTGACGCGCCAACCACTCAAGGACCTGTGGTGACTGATGCTCCAGGTAAGGAATAAATCAACGAGAAATCGCGAGGACAAATGTAATAAGCACGAATTGTTTTTAAATTGCACAGGAGCAACGCAATCCCCATCTCAGGCTCCAGGCGAAACAACTGCGAACCCAACATCTGCTAGCCCTGACGCACCAACCACTCAAGGACCTGTGGTGACTGACGCGCCAACCACTCAAGGACCTGTGGTGACTGACGCGCCACCACTCAAGACTGTGGTGACTGATGCTCCAGGTAAGGAAATCAAAGAGAAATCGCGAGGACAAATGTATAAGCAAGAAATGTTTTTAAATTGCACAGGAGCAACGCATCCCATCTCAGGCTCAGGCGAACAACGCGAACCCAAATCTGCTACCCTGACGCGCCAACACTCAGACCTGTGGTACTGACGCGCCAACCACTCAAGGACCTGTGGTGACTGATGCTCAGGTAAGGATAAATCAAAGAGAAATCGCGAGGACAAATGTAATAAGCAAGAAATGTTTTTAAATTGCACAGGAGCAACGCAATCCCCATCTCAGGCTCCAGGCGAAAC